CAAATGAGAAGAGCGATGGATCTAATACATTACGTGGTTAAGGATGGTGTCCTCGATTGTAGCGAATCTCAATCTTACCCCAATTCTCAAGTAAGAAAATTTTATCTACGTGATATTTTTCAGTCATATTTATTATTATTATTATATATATATATATATATATATATATATATATATATCAAATTTATTTGTTATATAATTTATTAACAAATAAATCTTAATAATAATAAAGAATTAATAGATAATAATAATAATTATAAAGTTATAGACAGAGGAAGAGAGAGAGAGAGAGAGAGAGAGAGAGAGAGAGGTTGTTTTAAACAATTTTCTTCCTAATATCATTTAACATTATCATCATTTTCATCAATAATCGAGTACTTATCATTTCTTTTTTAATAATAAAGATAATTTGTAACAAGGGAAAATAATTTTTAAATCTCCTTTTGTATACATATGTGTATTAGAAACGACATCGTTAAAATACTTAGTTCATTGCTTGTTACATAAATAATATATCTCTAAAGTAGTACCGTTGAGATCCATAAAGGAACGAAAAGAATCCATGGATCGTTAGAAATAATTTGTCGAAGATAGAAAAATAAGGTTTATCCAATGTCATCCTATGAAATGTGTGTTATAACTTTTTTCGTAATGTCACGAGCGAGAAAACGATTGTTTGTTTTTCGTATGTACAAAGCTCAGCCAAAAGAAATTCGACCTTTCGAAATTCTTCGGTCATGATGGCGCCGAAACTCCGACATAATTTCTTTTTCTCTCTCTTTTTCTCTCTTAAACACACACACACACACACACACATATACATTATTTTTCTTTCTATTTCTTAAAAACAATGTATACATAATATATACATACGTACGTAGATGAGTATATAAGAAAAAGATAATGATATCGATTTGGAAATAAAGAAAGACACTTTTATATAGACAATAAAGATGACGCATCGTAAAAGAGCAAACGAAATGATAGTTGCAAACAAATAATATGTATATGTATATATATCTCTCTCTTCAATACGATTTCGTGCCAAACAACAAGAAAAGGGCAATGGGTATGATTATGGCAAGGTTAAAAGCACCCAACCAACGCGTTTTCTATCCTTTAGTTTCTTCTACTAAAACATCATGTTTCATTTCCTCTATATTCAAATATCGTACCCTTGTATTTATTATAGGAAACAAGTAGTGACTCGGCCGACGGCCAACTTTCTTTAAGCTGTTAAACAATTCACTAGCTATTTTAGGATCGTTGTTCGACACATAGTCGGGTTCTTTATATATATGTAAATGCACGAACTATAGTTATGCAGCACATTTTAAGTCTTAAACTTTCGATAAGTTCTCTCTCTCTCTCTCTCTCTCTCTCTCTCTCTCTCTATCTATCTATCTATCTATCTTTATTGTCGATGTTATACATCCACATAACTATAAATGTTCTCGATTTTTTATCTATCTGTTCATTTTTTATCTATCTATCTGTTTTATCCATCCATCCATCCATCTATCTATCTATCTATCTATCTATTTATCTATCTATCTGTCTATGTATTTATCCATTTATCTATCTTTCTTTCTCATTTTCCTGCATTACGTTTGAGCCAAACATTAAGATATTTTGATTTTATTATTGAAAATATATAAATGAAGTATCTACACAAATATTTAAATATCTGCATACATATCTGTGTGTGTGTGTAAAGTTAAATATAAATTAGATATAAGATATATATATATATATATATATATATATATATTAAATTAAAACATTTCGATTTAATTAAAGATGATGATCAGATTTATTTATTAAAATTTGTTCATCGATCATAAAATTGATTTATCCACATTAATTTTTCGATTATCTAAAAAAACAGATATCTTTGGATACATATATATATATATATATATATTGATCGTTATATCGTGACTCGCAGAATCCACAGCAAGAGGATTGGGACAGTAGTACCGTGTGCTCAGCATTGAAACATTTCGAGAGGCTCGTAGAAACGACGAGGATGACTCTATTGGGACAAGGCTGTCGCGAAACACTGACATCAGCCCTCGATACCGTCGTCGAGAGGACCCAGGACTTTACCGACAGCGCTTACACGAGTCACGAGCACCGAGAGAATATCCTTCTTCTTTGCGATCGAGCGAAACTCGAGCTGAATACTCTATTGCGGATCGGTAATAGTATGGTAAGGCTCTTTTTCTGTCTCTTTTTAAAATCGAATTTGTCGTATGTGCGCAACGTAATTGAACGGAACAAAACGGAATGGAACGGAACGGTTTCATTTAAAATTGTTTTTTATCAATTTCAACGATCGAAATTGAATCGAAGAAGGATAAAGAGTACTATGATATTTTTTGAATATCTTCCATGTCTTTCTACTGCAGGATTTACAAATCTTTGTTTTTTCCTTGGCTAATTACTTTTTCTTTTTTATCATTTTTCTTCTTCCTTTTTCACTTCTTTTAAAGAGAAAAACGAGTGTTCTGACTTTAAGTGATAATTACTTTTTCAATTAATTTTACTTGCTGTATCTGTACGCGCGATAAAAAGAGACGAAAAAACGGATTGACAATTTCTCCATTTCTCTCTCTTTCTCTCTCTCTCTCTTTCTCTTTCCCTCTCTCTCTCTCTCTCTTTTTCTCTCTTCTTGCTTCATTAATTTCTTTTCTTTTCTTTTCTTTCCTTTTCTTTTTTTTTTCTTTCTCTTTCTATCATAAGAACTTCGAAGGAGGCGGATGTTCACCAAGCTCGGAGATGGAACAAGCAGTATTGGGAGTTCTTCGTGCTACTCGTGACCTTCGTCAGCAGCTTACGACAACGACGATGGAACAAGCTGGTGACCTTGGACAGGTGACCAAAGCCGGTCAGGATTTAGTCTCGACAATTAGAAATCTCGCTTTGGCTAACGAAATCGACCGACTTCAAGAGAGCAGCGACAGGTTTCACGAGTACATCGAACATATTCTCGAAGTACGTGTAGAGCTTCTAACATCTTCTTAAAATCGATTTGAAACGCCTTTATCCTCAAAGCGTGACTTGACCCTTACGAGCTGGCACAAGTGTTTGTTCGTGTCTAACCTTTCGACGTGACGATCTGGATAAAACTTGGCAGGATTTTAAAAGAACGTTTTTCTTTTCTTAAATTGATATGTATCACTTGAATCGCGAATATATTTTTAAAGTAAACGCGAATATTATTATTATTATTATTATTATTATTATTATTATTATTATTATTATTATTATTTTTTTTTTTTTTTTGTATAGATATCAATATTGTGTCAAAGAAAAAAATATAAAATATTTTCTTTTCTCTTCTGCATCATCTCAATAACATTAAAGAGATATAACATAAATATGATTTAAATTATTCTTTAAAATCGCAGCTAATCGCATAATAAACTTTGAATTTTCCATCTTATGTCGCTAATAATGAACCACGTCATTGAATAATAGAATTGAAACAAAATGAAAGTTAAATATCTATTTATAATTCTTTATTTATTTATTTTTTTTTTCTTTTCTTTTTTCTTTGAACCAATTTCAATGGCATCTAAACTATCTGTGTTCGATTCGATAAACATTTAATAACGTTTAATTAAAAATGTAGGTATGCAAACTCTTGAGACACGTTGCACTTTCGGAGTCTCTTCAAGTATCGGCAAAGTTCACCGAAATCAACCTAAGAATTTACGGGCCTCAAGTGGTGACAGCTGCGCACACGTTAGCTAGGCATCCTACTAGTAAAATTGCTAAAGAAAATTTAGAAGGTATCGATCTTCCGTCATTTCTTCATTATGACATATATGACATGAATATATACTTACATACATACATATATACATATATGAAAGGTCGTTTAATTAACTATAAGTTAATATGTCCTTAGTTTTCGCTGATATGTGGCAATGGTTAATGACCGACGTGACAACAGTAGCGAAAGATGTTTTGGAATTAAGTCAGAACAGACCGGAAAAGCAGGTGTATATGTCCCTGCCACGGCCAGGTGTAAGTAACCCTTTTCTTTCTTTTTCTTTGCGATGCTTTTTGTTTGCGATAAATTGTTTGCATCGATAAAAAAAACTTTATGTATATAATATATTTTATAATTTATATTTAAGCAACGATACTTACACCTTTTTAGATATAAATTGAAAACGTTTAGAATTTAGCTTCTTTCCTAAAAAAAAAAAAAAAAAAAAAAAACATTAACAGTAATAAAAATATCTAAGTACGCGTGAGACATCAAAAAGGGAGGATTAACTTCATTTAGTTCTGCGCGCGTGCGTATGTGTATGACTAAAGACAAATAGTTGCAGTAATAAAAAAAAAAAAAAAAAAAACAAAAAAAAAAATTGTAGAAGATAAAAAATTCGTCCTTTCAGAGGATCGAATAATAATTAGATTAATTCGAATCGATAGAAACACGGTACGACGAGCAAGCCATTGAAACCAGTAAGACTGGATAGCGAGGAACAAGCAAAGATAGCGAAGGCTGGCCTTGAGATGAAACTGATAACATCGGAGATGGACGCAGAGACGGAGAAATGGCAAGAGAGTGGTAGCGCACTCGAGGAGAACAACGACATAGTGAAACGTGCGAAGAATATGTCGTCAATGGCCTTCTCGATGTATCAATTTACAAGGGGGGAGGGAGCCCTTAAAACGACACAGGATCTTTTCACGCAAGCTGAGTATTTTGCGGAGGAGGCGAATAGATTGTACAAGGTTGTGAGACAATTTAGTTATCAGGTACGTTTGCAGATTCATTATCAGATTCGATCGAAATATACATCGATCTACATATTATATATATATATATATATATATATATATATATATATATATATATGTATGTATGTATGTATATAAGTAATTACACGTATCTTTTTCCATTACTGACTGACGTTTCAACCTATCTCCCTTGATACGTGCGTGCGTCTTTGCGTGCGTGGGTGCGTGCATGTGTATTAATTATATCGCCACTATGTATATATACAATGTGTATATATATATCTTTGTATATATATACACGCATATATATTGTATATATAGATGTATACGTTCTTAAATAACATTTTTTCGTCAATTTAAATTTTTGTCAATTAATATTTAAATTAATTCATCAATTTAATTATAATTAAAGTATGCGTGGCTTGTATGCGTGCCCGCGCGCGTTGTAATAACATCCGCCACCGCCCCTTATCTCAGCCCCTAACCCCCCGCCCCCCCCCCCCCCCACTTTTAATCTACCCTAAACTTGTTCGATCATTCTTTTTACCATTCTTTATTACGGATTCAGTATTTGACTATGATTCGATATTCTCGCTATACCTATATATATACTATATACCTACATATATTTTTTATCTATTAATTATTATTATGATAATGATGATGATGATGATTATTATTGTTGTTGTTGTTATAATTATTGTTATTATTATTATTGTTATTATTATTATTATTATTATTATTATTATTGTTATTATTGTTATTATTATTATTATTATTATTATTATTATTATTATTATTATTATTATTATTCCGGAAAAAATTTCTTTTACTTACACCTTTCGCTGTTGAGTTTCATTTTCTCGTAATCGCAATTACCTCGAAGCCACTTTGAATCACACTCAAAAGTGTACCAGCTTATCCGGTTTTTCATTTCTAATTTGATCTTTCTTTTCCTTTTATTCTGTTTCTTTCTTTCTTTTTTCTATTTTATTTATTTTTTTTTTCTTTCTTTTTTTCTTCCTTTCTTCCATTCTTTCTTTTTCGTCTTTTTTTGCGAACACAAAGAATTTATCATAATATATATATTTATAAAAAAAGTGAAAAAAAAAAATAAAAAGAAGTTCAGGTTATAAGGATTCGAAGTGACTTCGATACGAGTTTATTAGCATTAGGTATGTTTGAATTAATACGTTTGCTGCCCTTACAAATTCTCCTAGCTAGGCCAAGTATTAATAGTTCACCCGGTACCATTTTGATCTATCTCTATCTATCTATCTATCTATTTGTCTATCTATCTTTCTATTTTTCTATCTATATATATATTTTTTTTTTCTATTTAATTCTATCTTTCTTCTATCTATCTTCTATCTTTCTTTTATCTTTCTTCTATCGCTCTTCTTGAAAAGATATTTACGAGAACGAACCTTTGTAAAATGTTTTGTATTATAAGACCCTTTTTTTTATAACTCCCCCTTCGTACTTGAATGCCATCCATCCAGGTAAATTTTTCTCTCTATACTTTAGACCCTCGTTGGGGGCTAATAGTTATCAGAATACGTTCGCCTGTGTATAGATCATTTTCATACGCCTACGTGCATAGAACGCTAATAAGTTATTTGCGATTTCATTATTATACCAATGTTGTTGGGTGTTGTTCTATTTACATTAAATTAAAACACACAGTGCATTCATAACAAAAAGAAATGAAAAAGAGAAAAGAAAAAGAAGTGATGACAACAACAACAAAAAAAGAAAAAAAAACACATACACAGGAGCATATGCAAACATAAATTATTCTTTTCATGCAAACGTATGTACATACATATTACCTATGTATTACATCTGTAGGAGTTGTTTGATTTGTTCTTTTCTTCCCCTTTTTTGTTTTCTTTCTCTCTCTTTCTCTCTCTCCTTTTTTCTCTCTCTCTTTTTTCTCTCTCTCTTTTCTCTCTCTCTCTCTCTCTCTCTCTCTGTCTGTCTTTCTTTTTTCTTAATTTTTTCTTCTTCAAAAATTAGCGTTCAAAACTATTCGAAATTAATTTGAATGGTATAGAGAATTCCATCTATCCTACTATATTATATACTTTGTTATTTATTTTCTTTTTGAGTTTACACGAAGACTGACGAACGTTACGTCGAAATGCAACCTCGTCTCAATCTTTTCATAGAAAAAGAAAAAGAAAAAGAAAAAGAAAAAAAAAGATCGAAAAGGAGAAAAAAGAAAGAAAGAAAGAAAGAAAAAAGAAAATAGATCGTAGGAAAAAAAAGGAAAGAAAAGAGGTATAGAAAGAAAAAGAGAAAATAGTAAAGGAAAATGAAAAAAAAAAAAAAAAAGAAAAGAAAGAAAAGAAAAAACTTATTTCGTAGAAAAATCGATCACCATGGATTGTATTGCGTTTGACTTTTTTTGTTTTATTTTATTTTTTTTTTTTTTTCAATCGATCGCTCGGAAAAGATTAATGACAATTTTTATTTTTATTTTTATTTTTTTTCAATTTTTTTTTTTTTTTTGTGATATTTATCCAATTCTTTATGTATGATGTGCCAACTACGATAGTTATTCTCGAATAAAATTTCTTTCTCATATTACCATGGACAACAAACATGGACACATTACTATGATTATGATTTTTTTTTTTTTTTCCCTTGGTAAATTAACTTTATGTACATACATTTATCTATCACTTTTTGTGTACGATTAGTAAGGTGTGTTTTAGATGCTACGGGAATGCTTCCGTCTCTGGACGACGTCTATGTGCATTGTGGTCCCCCTCCCTCCACTATCTGGGGCATGAGTATTATGTCTCAAAATTTTTGCCAGCTTCCGAAAATTCGATATGTCGCGTGACCCTTCTGGAAATTTTCTCTCTGTTTTTTTTTCTCTTTTTTTTTTTTTTTTTTTATTTATCTGTTACTCCAAACGATATGCGGACGAGATCAGACCTTGTCTTTTTTTTTTTTGGTTTTTGTATTTCTTTTTGTTTTTAGATCTCATCTTTAAAAAAAATTGTTGTTTTTTCGTTATACGTAGATGTTTCTCATAAATGCATTTATTATTGTATTAGTACGATTAGAGATTAGAAGAACTGCTCTCGTCTGCATGGTCGCGTTAAAATAAAAAATGATGATTCATAGTAACATAATCAAAACGATAATGTCGAGTAATTGGACAGAAAATAAAAAATAAATAAATAAAATCATTTCATATATAATTTCTCTCTCTTCATATATAATTGTATATATAAACATATATACATATATATATATATATATATATATATAATCGTGAAGCTTGCGAAAATAACAAGGTCTGTACTAATTCACTGTCATTCACACATATTCATTCTAATATATTCTTTATTTCTTTCGAACGATTTTTAATAGTTTTACGTTTAAAGTTGTGCATTGTGTTCCATTAGGACCGATAGATTGACACGATCATTTCTTTCACATCTTAGCTGCATATCTATAAATATATATATCTAAACATATCTTTATATATTTATGTTGTATGTATGTTATAGTTAAATCGCGAAGAACAAAAAAAAAGAAAAAGAAATGAAAATGAAAAAATGAAAATAATAAAAGGAAAATAACAATTTTCATAAGTACAAAAGATAAAGCAAATTATTTTTCAATGCAATTGTTGTTTTTCCATTTGAATTATTCAATCTCAATTTTGATATTTATTATGTGCCTATGTACAAACTATAACGTATATACATATATATATATATATACATATTGATATACAATTCGTATCACGAAAATAAATATATTATATCGATAGTCCTTTATTAAAAACGAAATAAGAAAATATAGAATCAAGCGTTGCTTGAAAGATATTCGAGGAGTAAATAGCTCTATATAAATATATAATTTACATTCACGTAAAGCAAACGCTTTGGCAGTTTTCAACGATCGTTAGAAAAAAATTAAACATTAGATACATAATAATAATAAAAAAAAAAAAAAAAAAAAAAAAGTAGAAGAAAGAAATTGAAAAAAGAACGATGAATAAATAAATAATAACGGTGATATATTGATTGAGAGAGTTATAAAAAGATCGACGGAGGAAGAAAAGAAGAAAAAGAATCGATAAAAGTTCCAAAATCGTTTCGTTATCGTTCGATACCTATTGTAATATTCAATTAATTTTTTTTTTTTTAATATTTTCATTATCATTTATTAATTTAAATAAATAAAGAGAAATATATATATATATTTATTAAATCGAAATAAAGATATTTATTATTCCGATATAATTGATCATTCGATCGTTGAAAGTTGAAACCGTCGACTGCATTTGCTTTGCGAGAGTAAATTAGGCATAAATTTTTATACGTCGTTGCATGGGCGCAGGTACCGGGTGGACCGCACAAGAAAGAACTATTAGAAAATCTGGATCGAGTGCCAACATATGTGCAACAATTGCAATTCACCGTGAAGAATCCAACCGTCGGTAAAGCGGCGACATTTACCAAAGTCGACAACGTTATACAGGAGACAAAGAACTTGATGAACGTGATATCGAAGGTGGTCACTACGTGCTTCGTCTGCGCCACAAAGGTGAGACCAATGATGAACGAAAGATCGTTTATCGTGATCTTTCATCTCACTTTCCTATATAATGCAAACTTTTTATCTACGGTAACAATAAGCTGTGCATTCGAATTTTTTTCTCGTTTTTCTTTTTTCTTCGTTTCATATCTTCTCGTATCTTTCATTTCTTTTTTTGTTTTCTTTTTTTTTTTTTTCCGAAGAGTTTCATAGCACAACAGTCATTTTGTTTGTTGTCTTTCGTCATTATTATTTTTTGATTTTTTCGATTTCCTTTTTTGTTTTCTCTTTTTTCTAACTTTTGATTCTTAACGTTATCGCCATTGACGTTTTATTTCAATCAGCTCTCGGTACGCGCATCTTTTTTTTGTTTTTCTTTTTCTTTTTTCTTTTTTCTTTTTGTTAATCATTTTTATCGCACCGCGTCGCCATACAACGTTTTTCAACAACCGTTTTAGTATTTGTTTTTCTCTCCTTCAATTTTTTTTTCCTTTTTTCTTCTTTTGCTTCTCTTTTTTTTGTCTTCCTTTTTTATTCTTATCTTTTATATCAAATACTTCGAAATTGAGGGAGGAATTTTTTCAAACTATTCCTAGGAACATTTGAGAGAATCGTTACTTTGAAAAAGAACGATGAAAAAGCAAACGATTGCGTTATATATTATATAAAAATCCTGATATATCTGTAGTTCATGTTAACGTTTATTCGTCGATCAGCATAACGTCAACATGCCGCAGTTCGTGGATCTGAGTCCGACACCGATGCCAGGGGAAAACGAAGAGGATTGTTTATATCCTATCAGTCCGCAATTACTTCCATCCTCGTCGCCATACGTTCAACCACATCCTTTGACCTCGGCACAGTTCCATAATATCCTTCGAACGAGCCTAAATCTTTCAGCATTCAATCCTTATTTCAACGTGGTACCAACAACGTATGGCGGATTTGTCGCTAATGCTACTACTAGTGCTGCTACTACTACTACTACTACTGCTACTACTACGACAATGAGAAATTCAACGACGAACAACAATCCTAACAAAAGTTCGACATCCTTCGTTCATCCCTCGGTCCTTCCTTTCTCAACAAATCAAACGAACGTGCCACAGCCGTCGCCATATTCTCTACAGAATCTTCAACTATTGCAGCTGCAATTGCATCAGGCACAATTGCAACATCTGAGATACGCCAGTCTGCCCAGATAACGAAAGACACACGCTCCCTCTCGCAAAACAAACGGATCTGAAAGTTTTTTAAACTTTCTGCGCGCGTGAGAGAGGAAGAAAGAAAAAGAGAGAGAGAGAGAAAGAGGAAGAAAATGAAAAAGGTAGAGAAAGAGAGAGAGAGAGAGAGAGAGAGAGAGAGAGAGAGAGAAAGAGAGAGAGAGAGAGAGAGAAAGAAAAAGAAAGAGAGAGAGAGAGAGAGAAAAGAAAAAGAAAGAGAAAGAGAGCGAGAAAAAAAAGACAGAGAACTGCTCGTAATTTCGTATCATCACAGGTTCGACCGTATGTTTTATTTTTCTTTTTTCGCTTTTCACCTTTTTCAACCCTCCCACTCTAAGCCACCCCCCCCATCCGGCCAGCCGCCAACAACAATCCTCACATTCATTCTTTCGTATCGCTTCGCTTTTAACATCCTGATTCGACTTTATTTAATTTACGATTAATTTATTATAGCTTCTTCTTCCTCTTTTTTCTTCTTCTTCTTCTTCTTCTTTGATTTCTTTTTTTTCTTTTTACAATTAGACCTCGTTGACCTTGCTCATCCTTAGCTTTTGGCTTGAAATATTGTACATTTTTTTTTTCTTATCTTACCCCGTTTTTAATTAATAATTTATTTCTCAGCTTCCACTAACCAGGATCGAATGAGCTAACTGTGGGAAGTGGGGGATTAAATAAAGGGAGAGGGTGGGGATGGGCCAGGGGAGTTATTTAGGGGAGATTGTAAATTGTTATTGATTGAAATTATTAATCGATTAATATCAGACGTTAATCCAATCAAACATTGCTTGCAGGAATATGCCAAAGTTGCGATCGTTTATAAATGTATCTTAATGCTTAACAATATAATCTCATTAACGAGATCGGATATTTCAATTGATCGTAAATACTATCATTTCTTATTGCGATTTCATTATGTTTAACCTTGAAATATGTGATCTCGATTAATCAATTGCATTTTATCCACTACTTCTTTTTTTCTTCTTTTTTTCTTCTTCTTTTCTCTTTGTTTCATTTTCAGAAACAGCAGGAGTATAAGTAAGTGATATTATTTGGGAAGAGAATACAAATTGAATAATTGATTATCTTTATTTGTTATGTAATATCGTTTAAAATTAATGACAATGATCGTTTTCGAACGAGGTCGTTAACGTCGGAATGTAAAATTTTATTAAAAGCAAAGCAAATTATTGATCCTTGATTAGAACTCAAATGAACGTTCATACATACTTTGATAATAAAAGAATTATTATAAGAAATCGTAAAATAATACAACAACGAAAACGTCGAGTGAAATGTTTCGGTTTATAGAAATTCAAAAGGTTTGAACGTCATAAGATTATCAACAATAAGAAAAAAAAAAATAAATAAATAAAATAACAAAATATTCTTGTCCCCTTCCTATTACCCCACCGTCTCCTCTTCCTTTCCCATCCCTCCCATTCCCATTCACCCCGACGTTATCGACTGAAGTCGGTAAAAAAATAAGGGATAAGGCAAAAAGAAAAAAAAAAAGAAGAAAAGAAAAGAAAAAAGATACATTGAATAATAATAATATTGAAAATAATATAAATAATGAATATTTATATATATGTATATATATATATATGTATGTATAATTTTTTCAGTACAACCTGGATTTCCGAGGTCTGTCGGCGCGCGGGGCCGGCGGCTCGCCGTACAGGGGCGGAGAGGGTGGAAGCGCCGACGGCGAAGGTGGAGGTGTTGGTGTCGACGGCAGCAAGGCGGGCTCCGCCCCCGGCAGCGATCCGTCCGTCTGACAGTTTGGGATGGCCCGACGGGCCAAGGGGGACGCTCGCCGCACTCGGGTCTCCTTTCTGCTTTTCTAGGAAGAGCCTCGCCTGCCCCACAATGGAACGTACACGTCGACGACGACAACAACAACTACAACAACAAGAACAACAACAACAACAAGAACAACAAGAACAACAACAAGAACAACAACAAGAACAACAACAGCAACAACAAGAACAACTACAAACAAGTTACCTTATTATCAATCATTGTTATCGATCGTTCGATCGATCCGTGTACTTACATTCGTCGAATTATCACGAGCCTGCCTCTCGGTCCGAAATTCCAATCGTTCCTCCATCTTGTCGTTACTATCGTTATATATTTCCTTTCTTAATTTTATTTCTCTCTTTTCATATACACACATACACGTACATACATATTTATATTACTCTATCACTAACTATTATCAACTATTATTATTGTTATTATTTTTGTTCTTATTATTATTATTATTATTATTATTATTATTATTATTATTATTATTATTATTATTATCTCTTTCTCTTCCCCTACCATCATCGTCAACCATCGTCGAATTATCTATCGTGTTTAATAAATATCTATCTATTTGTCATCATCCTATCAAGAATCGATATTATTATCGAACGTCTAGTCGCCTCGTGCGATTAAACCACTATACCTACACGTCTACAAACGTATATGGTATATATATATATATATATATATATATATATATATATATTATATATATATACTATTAATCTTTGATATCAAAATTGATATTATCCTAAAAATTTTTATCGATATAGACATTACCAGATACAAGTCGAAATATTATTGTCAATCTACTTTCGATCTAAATCGAAATAATATTAGATCTTTATTCGAATTTTGAACGATCGAAAGTATTTCCACTATTTAAACATTCGATCGGATCAATCAATCAATCCAATCAATTAATCAATCAATCAATCAATCAATCAATCAATCAATCAATCAAAATCCATCGATCGATCGAAATCTATCGATCAATCCTATCCTAAAATCATTTTGGTCTCATTCACGTGACTCAAAGGCAAACTCGTGATCCTTATTCGAACGATCAATGATGAACGAATAATCTTTATATCACGCATATGATTATTTAAAAACAATCTTCGTCTATGTTCGACGTTTACGTTCCATCATCATTCGCTAAAGTTCTTTCGAATGTCATCGAAATAAATATAATCTACTTCGATCACGAGAATCACGTTAATGCGTAAAATGATAAATCGAGGGCTAAAAAGTGAAAAAAAAGAGAGAGAGAGAGAGAAAAAGAGAGAGAGAGAGAGAGAGAGAGAGAGAGAGATAAAGTGAAAGGGCTATTAAAAATCGCACGCAAAGGCACGCTACGCAAGCGCACGCGCAGGTGCACGCGCACGTCAGGCACGCACGAAATTATCGTAATTATGCTGACGCGTAGTAATTAGCACGTGATTATTAAATTAAACTCAATTACGCATGGCTCGCTAATTGTCGATGAGCTAATGCCACCATACCTACACTTTATGTAGATCCTTTTCTAATGTCGATCGATTATCGAATCTTTAGAATCGAATTCGATTTCGTATATTTACATACATACATACATACAATACAATACAATACAATATACAATACAATACGTACAATACAATACAAAATAGTAATACAATGCAATACGTAATATGTACGATACGTTAAAGTTACGTGGAAGGGAGATTAAATGAAAGAACCGCGAGTCCTTGTATGTATGTGTATGTATGTGTATGCGAGCGAGAAATAGAGAGAAAGAGAGAGAGAGAGAGAGAGAGAGAGAGAGAGAGAGTGAGAGAGAGAAAAAGAGAGAGAGAATGTTGAATACTCATTTCTAAATGAGAACAAGATAAAGAAATAATAATTTTTGAAACATGCAAGCACGAAGATGAGATGGTACGTCTTACAAAGATAAGAAAAAAAAAAAAAGAGAAAAAAAGAAAACAAAAAAGATAAAAGAGAACTAATTAGTTCTAAAGAAATAATATATAATATGAAACGCTATGAGGACAGGGGGAATGGAGAGCCAGAAAAAAGAAAAAAGAAATAAGAAAAAGGGGTTTAATAATAATCGTTCTTCCAAAGCCGACAAGTTGGTGCAACGACAATAATAAACAGCGTCGATATGGAGTGCCTTTTTTAGGTGTGAGAATAGAGGCTGACTTCCACTTCCATAGTTACGCCAACTTCGGTTTATGAGAAAATGTATGTTTGTGTTTGTGTGTGTGTGTGTGTCTGTCTGTCTGTCTGTGTGTGCGTGCGCGCGTATATGCGTGTATGCCTGTACATGTCCTCTGCTGTTTACGTGCGGTTAGAGTCGTCATAAATCAAGAGATTTAAAAAGAAAGAAAATACGTGACGTTTTTTTCTTTACTAAAAATACGAATGAGAAACGTTTAATATATTAAAAAAAAAAAAAAAAGACAAAAAGAAAAAAGACAAAAGGAAAGAAAAAGATGATTAAAAGTTCGACCAGTTAACTTTAACGTATCGCGCGCAAAAAAAAACGCCATTTTCTCTTTGAGACTGTATACGCTTTTGTCTGAAGCAGCAGGTGCCAAAGAAAAGGGAAGAGAAGGAAAATAAGATGAAATGAAATGAAGCGAGAGAGAGAGAGAGAGAGAGAAAGAGAGAGAGAGAAAAAAAGAGAGAGAGAGAGAGAGAGAGAGCATTAGACGAATAGCAGAAATGAAGGTTCGTGCGAATTGTTGAAAATTATAATTAAAAGAAAAATGAGAGAAACAAGACATAGAAAACAAAAGAACAGAAAGAAAATTGAAAAATCTTCATCATTATTTTATTCGTAAGGCCTGAAAGAAAAATATATGAGAATATATTTCTTATAGAAAGAGAGAAAAAGTAAAGAAATTGTATTCGCACGATCTTTCAAATTTTGTAGATCCTTTTCTTTTCTTTTTATTTTTTTTTTTTTTTTTTACCTTACGTTTTTTCTTTATTTTTACTTTTATTTCTATTTATTTATTTATTTATCTTTTTCTTTTTCGATTCGATGAATCGAGCAAAGAGCTAATGAACGCTTGTTGGAAACAATTTTATTTTTCCTTTTTGTTTTTTCTCATTTTTTTATTTTAAGATCAGCTCGCGCTAAGCTAGTCAGGCAAAAATAATGATAGGCTTAGAGAAAGAGAGAGAGGGAGAGAGAGAGAGAGAGAGAGAGAGAGAGAGAGAGAGAGAGAGAGAGAGAAAGAAATTATCTCTTGATGAAGGAGTCAAATAAAAAAATAAAAAAAAAAATAAAAAAGGAAGAAGTAGAAAAAGAAGAAGAGAAAGAAGATGTTATAGAGATAAAAATGAGGATAAAAAAAAGAAAAAGGAAAGGAAGAAAAAAGATTGTAAAGAAAAAAAAATAACGAAGAACGATTATTAGTGGGGCAGGAAGTGGATCGTCGAAGGTGACCTGGGGGCGGCAGCAGGGCGGTCAGGGACGTACTTTGTGGCAAAGATCAAAGCCCTTTTTTTGCGAGTAACACCACCCGAGATATCTCTCTTTCTAATCGTGTATAACAAAGTATCATGTATATACAAACATACATACAAACATACCATACAGTACCGTACTATATAATATAACCAAAACATATACATACGTATGTATGTATTATCTTTATATGTGTATACGTTTGAAACGTGCGTTTGTCTCGCTTTCTCTCGTGCTTCATATCGAAAGAGAAAGAGAGATTATCACTGCGTCGTGTCCACATTGTGCGAACCGATCGTTTCGAGCGCGCGATTATGTATTTATATATATATATATATATATATATATATATGTATATACATAATCACACCTTGCATATATACGCATATATATGTAAAAAATTTTCGCGAAAGAAATTTCTCGATTCAAACGAAACTTTTCACAAAATTGAAGAGACAAGTAGCAAGATTATATTTTTTGCAATGAGGAAAACTCTTTTTTTCCTTTCCACGAGTTTAGAAGAAAAAAAAAGGAACAAAAAGAAAAACAATCGAAATTAATCTGAAATATTTAAGTTGTTGTTGTTATTATTATTATTACTATTATTATTATTATTATTATTATTATTATTATTATTATTGTTGTTGTTACTTTGCTTTTCCTTTTTCTTTTTCTTTTTTTTTTTTGTAACTTTTCGTAATACTACAAGTTTATAAGAAACGATCGTTTAATACTAGCCCTAATAAAATCTCTATTTACTATGATCTTTAATATATATATATATATATATATATATATATATATATATATATATATATATGTATGTGTATTTACTAATAAATTCCAAGATAACATTAACGATAACGTTTATACGATGATTTAAGCGAATATCGTCGAACGTTCGTATGATATTTTCCTATTCAGAAAAATTTATTAACAATAGAATTATATAATGAATAAATGAGACAACATGATTGATTTAAAAGAAGAAAAAAAATAATATCCGACAAACGATGTGGGATACGAGATTCGATATTTATCTTTCGATTACGCGATATAATGAACGAATGATGATAATAAATCGAGAAAAAATCAACTAAATAATAAACAAATACATAAAGTACGCGTATCTTAATAATTCGCGAACTAGAAATTGATCTTAGAGATAAAAATTATTTCGTAATAAGCGTAATTAAGCTTTTCTCTCGTAATAACAATTAGTGCGGATTTTTCTTTTTTTTTCTATTTTTCATTTATCCTTTTAAAAACGACGTAATGTTTGTATAAGATGAGTGAAAAGAAAAAACAGAGATCCTCACGAGTTCCTAAGATGTTAAAAGAAAAACAATGAAGAAGAAAAACAAAAAAGAAGAAAGAGAAAAAGAAAGAATACAAAACAAAAACAAAAAACAACAGAATACTTTGTAATTTTTACTAAGGGTGAATGAAATACTCGTAAAATGCGTTTATTCATTTATTTCCTTTTCATTTTTCTCTCAATTATATCATCGGATCGTTCGCGCGAAGATAACAAAAATTATATTCATTTCTTTTATTTATTCATTCCATAATCTCTCGTTATATATTTTTTTTATTTCTTTTCACTGATAAAATTCATCGCGTTATCGCGAAAAAATGATTAAAAAAAAAAAGGGGAAATAAAAATAAATAATAAAAAAAAAAAGCAAAAGCGAGTATTTTACGCACCAATTTAATTAATAACAAGCGTTGGCACTGTAGCTCTAAAGCGAGAAAGAGAAAGAAAGAGAGAGAAAGAGAGAGAGAAAGAGAGTGAGAAAGAGAGAGAGAGAGAGAGGAGAAAACAACAAAGAACACTTTGTGAATCTCGCGCACGTTAACCTCGCAGAATGTAATTCGAAATATTGTATAACTTGTATAACGCGTTTGTACAAACTCTGTATCATATTTGATCGCAACCTTGTCACAGGTTAAATAGGGATCTTCCTCTGATTATATATGTATACTGTATAAGCTTATATACCAATTTCTTTTCTTTTTTCTTTATCTTTGTAATTATTTTTATTTATTCGTTTATTATTATTATTATTATTATTATTATGATATATATATATATATACACATATATATGGATGTGCGTGTATATGTGGTGTGTATGTGTGTATGTGTGTATATGTGTGTATATATATGTATATATATATATATATACGTATATATACATATGTATGTATGTATATATATATATACGTATAACAAGAAAACATGACAGAAAAATAATTGTAAGACGAGGGACTTTCTCTTTGTTGAAAATGATCATGATCGTTTTTAAAATGATCACGATCGTCAAATTTATTATTATTACGTTGAAATACGAGGATAAACGAAAATACGTGACAGACGAGGATATAATACAAATGAATGAGAAAAAGGATAGAAATATTTCGAACGGGAAAAATTGAATTTCGAGAGAATACGATTTTCGATAACTTACTATTACGAAACTAACGAATAAGAGAAAGAAGAGAGGATTGGAGGAATATTGAAAATATTATTTCTCTCCATTCGACGATCTATCGTTCATAAAATTGATCTATAATGTTTAACAGTCGTTATATATGCTTTTTTTCTTGTTTTTTTTTCTCTCTCGAGATACGCAAAGGATTAATTGTTACTATCATTATTATTATTCTTCTTATGATTATTGTTATTATTATTATTATTATCATCATCATCATCGATCGTGTATAAGTGCTTGTGCTTATTTTATTGGAATCATGAGTTTTATTGCAAGTGTTTTATATTAATCACATTATTATTTGTTATTCAAACAATTTTGCATTGATTTGCGTTTCGGCATTACAATTCTTTTTCATCACGATTGAATTACTAAGTCTAACGTTTTAATTAAAAATTTTTTATTCGTAAATAACGATCCAACGTAAAATCGATGGGATATTTGTTTTTTTTTTTTTTTTTTTTTTTTTTTTTTAGGAATTGAATAAAAAGATAAAAAAAGATTTCTAATGGGTATCATCTATTAACGCCAAAGTCGATTACAATCGCTTTCGTATATATTGAGATTTGACAAATTTTCTTTTATATTATATTAAAGTATTTCTCATAGAGTATTAGAGATTTCTGAAAGATGTTCGTAAAAAAGAATAATAAGTTGAAGATTTTCTAACGATCGAACTATGTTGGTTGTAAAATTGTTGTTTTTTTTGTGTCTTATCTTTAAAATCGATTGAACGATAGAAATATCTTTTGTTATATCCAAATATTTTCTGTTCTTTTCTTTTTTTTTTCTTTTTTCCAATGATTTATGAATGGAGATGAAATTTGTCTACTTCTTCTTTCTTCTTTCTTCCTTTTCTTCTTCTTCTTTTCTTCATATTACTATTATCGTTACTATTACCATTATTATTATTATTATTATTATTATTATTATTATTATTATTATTATTATTATTATTATGATTATGATTATGATTATGATTATGATTATGATTATGATTATGATTATGATTATTATTATTATTATTATTATTATTATTATTATTATTATTATTATTATTATTATTATTATTATTATTATTATTATTATTACTACTACTACTACTACTATTATCATTGACGGGTAATTATCATGATGGATACATATATATATATATATGTATATATATATATATATATATATATATATATATATATATATATACATATATATCATGATCGTACGATCTAATTATACGTATCATTGGCGGTTTAACAGTACATAGATAATGACATTTACCTCAGTGATATAGTACCTATTTCTTTGTATCAAGACTAATAATGTTCTTATTCTTGACGGATAGTTTACCTAATTATACTGATAAAGATGATGAGAGAAGACGATGAATAATGATTATGAAGAACAAAAGGAAGAAAAAAAAAACCGCGTTTAGAGATAGAGTCGGCGTTACATATTACACGCATAGATATATAATATACGATACTTAAATAAATAAATAAATAAATAAATAAATAAATAAATAAATAAATAAATAAGTAAATAAATAAATAAATAAATGAATGAATAATTGAACAAATGAATAAATAAATGAGTGAATGAATGAATAAGTAAATGAAGAAAGAAAAAATAAAAATTAAATTAAATTAAATTAAATAAAGTAAAATAAGATAAATAAATAAATATAAAT